ATATCATTAATGAATATACAACAACTGAAAGAAGCTTCAATTACTCTTAGTATGTATTACATTATATTAACATAATGACTAGTACTGGTATTTTAGGAAAGGATCAGTCTACACAATATATGGATCCACCAAAAGGACCAGTTTATGTAGCTATTATTGACTGGGAGGCAAGGAATAGTACTCAGCTTTCAATCATAAAAGGAGAGAAACTTGAGATCAAGAAAGAGTGTACTAATGGATGGTGGCTAGCAAGATCATTAGATACTGATCATGAAGGATTTGTTTATATTAATCATATTAAAAAAGATGAAGAGAGTGAACTGTCAACATTGGAATCACTTGAACTATTTCATTATGCAATGACAGAAAATGTTGACATACCTATAATCAAGGAAATTAAGATGAGGAGCAACGTTGAGAGAGCAAGTCTCTTTTTATCATTAATTAAACAAGATTCAGTTCTGCTAGATCAACTTAGGAAAAAAGAAGATGGTAAGATATATTTATATGTACTAATAATCTATAGAGTATTTTGAGGGTATTAGATATTGTCCATGATCTGCATATTTTATGCTATACCCTACAGCCGGAAATATTGGCGAGGAATTAATATTGGCGGATTGGTGGTGGGCAAAAAATCGCCAAAATAATATCTGCCAAATTTTGTTAATCTATTTTGGGCACCGGGCATGGTTGTTCATTACGTCATCTTGTCTTCACATGCCATCACACTAAGTACAAGAAATTGAACAAAGATGCTGTGTTATTTCAAAACTTCACCTATTGTTTGGGTCCAAAAGGATTTAGAAACATGATGCCCTTGAATACAACTCTCAATCGTTACTTCACAAGCTTCATCATCCTCGAGCTTTTGGTCGGCCACGTTTAGCTCTCTTTTAATTAGTTTAAAGGCGTGGTGTAACAATTAATATTTTCTAATTTTAATTTAAAAATTAATTTCAAGTCGTAATCACCAAATTAAAGTACCGCCAATCACATTTTTTGACAAATCGCCAAATAAAACTCTCGCCAATATTTCAGGCTGTACGGTATTTTGAAAATCAATATAATTTTGGTTCCAGTACACAAATTTTTATACATTATAAAATTCACAAAAAATAACCAGCTATACAGAAGTGTTGCTTGCCTTAGTCATTAAAAATATGGTAGTAGAGAATTATACTTGATAATACAGTAATTAATTATAATTGTTTATGTATTCAGGAAAACCTAAAGCAATTAGGTGGTATGATGATGGTGTTGAACTGACCTCTCCATCTTTAATACAATGTCAAGAAGTAGTTTCTCTATTAACATACAAACATAGGAGCATTGTCATCAAGGAATCATCTCCTGACATTGTGTGTGATCTGTTGCCAGTTTTATTACAAAATGAAAAGGTGAAACATTTGACAATAGAAGACACTCAACTAACACAGGACTGCATCTCATCCTTATGTAACTTACTGGCTAATAATAAATCATTATTAGATTTATTTTTTACTAACTGTTCCATTGATGACAAAGCAGTTGCTGATATTACAAACGTACTACATACACACAATAACACACTTTTAGGATTAGTCTTCTTTAATAATCCTCGTATTACTTCAGTTAGTGCTCAGTCTCTTTCTGAACTAATTATCAACAATTCAACATTAACTAAATTAGAAGTAAGAGGCACTTCAGTATCATCTGATGGAATATTACTAATTCTTCAATCTTTAACAATTAATAAAAATATAAAGCTCTTTCTAAGTATGAAAGACAAAGACACATGCACAGAATACCATGACTATAACACTCTAAAAGATAGATTAATATTTATGTAATTAATTAATAATAATTGTATTTCGCTTTTTTATTGACGATGCTGACTCATCAATTATATCATAATAATTAATTTAAACACAAAATAATTAACGAAGTGATTTATGATAAACACGTACAAAAACAAGTAAATACAAAATAATAATAATAATAATAATAATAATAATAATAATAATAATAATTGCGTTCACCCATTTTAATAATAAATTATTATTGCAATCAAAGACAATTAAAATAAAATAGAAGAGAATAGTACAACCAGCTTATTGGGCAAGCAGTACATGTGTCAGTTGTTATTAAAATAATAATAATAATAATAATAATAATCATTAATTTATTATCTTATTATAACTGAACTATTATGATGGTCCTTTGTCCCCTCCCCCTCCTCCACAGCATCCTCCCTTAGCACTTGGTGTATCAGTCTGTCTTAAGAGAGAGGCACCAGCTGGTAAACTAGTTAAACAATCTGGTGGTA